TCCCCGGGACCCTCTGCAAGTGGCAGGGAAGCGTTACCCGCAGGAACTTCATGGCCACGAGGTGGAATCCCTTCTGCTCAAAGCGCTTGATGATCTCGCCCACCAGGCCGCGCTGCACGCCGTCCGGCTTGATGGCGATGAAGGTGCGCTCGAGGTTGGCCATGGCTCTGCGAGGCAAGAGGAGAGGTCAGGGACCGACCGGCCTCGCGGATACAGGCCGCGGAGAGTAGGGTTCCGGGCCCCGGAGGCCACGTGGGTGCCCTCCCGTCCCGCCTCCCCCGCCTCCCCCACCTCGCGCGGCCGCCGGGGGGGGAGGGGCTGCAGGGGGTGGCCAGGGAGAAGCGCCCACCGTCTTACCCGGAAGCTGGTGGGACCGGGTGACTGCTGCGCTCCGGGAGCCGAGAGCAGGGGCGACCACCGCACCCGGGAGCAGCCGGCAGCGGAGGAGCGCGGGGCGGGGCGCGGCACGACCACACCCCGGAGGGCACGGCCCAGCGCTGGACTGACGGCTCTGTCCACGCCCACAGCCCTTGCTTTGCAGAAACCAGTGAGGAATCCGGAGGACGGAAGTGATCTGTTCACCCGGAATGTCCCACCAGCTAAAGGCGCGTCCCAAATCCACCTCCTCATCTCTCGGGACCCCCTGTGAGCCCCGCATGCTCCTCATGTGCGCACTGACACCCTCGAGAACCTTCACTGTCGTCCGACACCCGGTGTTATCTTATTCTTCTCCCCATCATGCACCCACGAGGCCTTCCTTCTCTGAAATCCAGTCCTCCCGTCCCCTCCCTCTGCTAGAAGCCCCCCACTTTCCTCATTTAAACTAACTGGCAGCCATCCAAGGGCTCTCACTCTCCGCCGCTGGCACTTCCGTCCCAAAGCTCCCTCCTCAAATGGCCCTGACCCTGCCCACTACCCTGCTCTGGGGTCTTCTCTGCTACAGCGGGCTGCTTGTCCCCCACGTCCTGCCCTTCCAGCCCCCATCAGCTGCTCCTTCCGCTTTGAGATGGGAGCCCTGCCCAGCCAGCACGGCTGAGCAGTCAGGGTATCAATTCGCCCTGAGATACGCCCTGACTGGTCTAGATTCCAAACACGCCCTGACTGGTCTAGATTTCGTAGCAGAAACCAGGCCTGCCGTGGACATGCAGGCAGTCCCCATCTTCTGTCTGCCCAGGGAACCGTGGGGCCCCTTTGGAGGCCCCCTGCTTCCCTAGCTGAGGAACCCCAGCATTTTGGGCAGCAGTGCTCCCATGGAGATTGTGGGACTCCATGTGCCTCCCCTGGGGACCCTGAGCTGACCTCAGAACTGACTAGTGGTACCAAGGCAGTCCTGCCCAGATGGACAACCCATGCCTCCTTTACATCCACCGACTTTCCAAACCTGCAGGTGCCCAGCGTTCCCCCCAGCACACTGGCAAGGACTGTCTCGCGCCCTCATTCTGGGGGAGTGTTTCCCGTGACCTCAATCTGAAGCACTCTTCTTTAGGATTCCCTTTTTTTTTTTTTAAGAATTATTTTATTTTTAACTTTATTTATT